TGTGTTTGTGTGTGTGTTGCCTCTTTAGGATCTTTTCAAGCATTAAAGCGATAGTTCACTCAAAAATGAAAAATTACTCATTTTCTACTCACCACTTTGCTGATGGAGGGGTGGGTGAAGTGTTTCAGTCCACAAAACACTTCAGGAGTTTCAGTGTCAAACAGGGTTTTAGTCAAATTCAATCAGTTGAAGTAAATGGTGATCAATTCTTCCAACATCAAAAACAACTGAAAAATACATGCCTCCTTACTCCTCTAGGTGTCATCCAAGTGTCCGTAAGCCCTGACACTCAAATTTGACTTGGGATTATTTAATTCACACGATATTTTTAGCCTAAATGTCTACTGTGATCCACATGTGAATACAGTCATTTGGGCTAAAAACATGATGTAAATGTTTTGAGTCCAATTTCAATGTCGGGACACCACAGGAGCAGTATGGAGGCATCTTATGTTTTTTTCTATTGCTTTTTTACGTCTGAAGAATCGATCACCATTTACTTCCATTGTTTTGGATTTGACTGTAACTCTGTTTACCCCTTAAACTCACACATTAACTACACTAGATAATGAGTGCATTTGCATTTTCGGGTGAACTATCCCTTTAACATAAACGTCATGAGGAGCATCAGTCCTCATGACGCACAAAGCTGCATCCAAGATAACACATTCTAAGGTCCTGGTTAAAGTTAGGGGTAAGGTTTTTCACAATGAATTACACAATGAATGGAAAGAATCATCATGGTGTGTTCAGTAGTGGGAATTATCACAGATTTACCACAGAGGAGGTTTCAGTACATTTGCAATCATAAAGTGTTTGGTCCAACCGAGGGCACAGCAAGAAGCAGGGTAAGAAATATAGGGAAATTGCTTTGCTTGAGAAGCAGGGTTTATTTTCAATTTGCCAAAAGGATTCCTGTTGGTGCTGACAATAATTGGTTTAATATCTAACATTTTTCAGGCAGTAGAAAAAAGCGATATCATTGTGTGCCAAGATAAGTAGAAGTTCCATTAAAGAAATTGTTATCTCAGTGAAAGTCATTAGATCAGCAGGTTTGAGGCAAGACTGCCTAGAATACAGTTTTGCAGATTACAGAGTAAGTCTGATTGTCTTACTTAGAATCACAAAACAAACCTACAATGTTCCAAATTGCTGTGATGAGCGACCACACCAGCTAAAGCAAACAAGGATCAGTTCAGGTCAGACACCACAAAAAAGATACTTCCCATTGACAATGTGTGTTTGTGTTTCAACCACACACACACCTACTGTAAATTTCAGTGTTGAGGTAATTACAAATGCTGCTTGGCCGTTTAAATGGCCTGCTATTTCAAATACTCAAATGCAGTGTTAAGATTAGACATTTTATTTTAGTCAAGTATCAAGTGAAATCAAGTATTATAAGTACAAGTAACATCAGCAGGAAAAGTGTACTGTCACTGATTTATATATGATATTGTTGTAAGCAGGATTATTTCGAGCGAGTGAAGGCAGTACTAGTTTTATATACAGTTAGATTTAATGTTGTAGTTCTGAGTCGTAGGGTCATTCAAAGGCAATGCACAAGGTATTCATCATACTGGTAGTTTTTACCATAGACTGTGTATAAAGATTGATGACATGACAGCTCTCCAAAAGTGAAATCAACTTGATCGCTAACTAGTGGCTGGCTGTAGTATAGCTTATAAACCCTGCCTCCTCCATGTTAATGACTAGGATATGGAGCTCACTTAAAAGTCATTAAACAT